GGGAGGGCTCGTAGTTATCTGATTGCGATCCGCGGCGGTGTCTTGCATATCGGAACTGCCGCCAGTGGCTGCTGCAAGAACGTGATAAGCGTGACCTGAGCCATAAGATGAGAAGAGATTTAGGCCTGTAGCTTTTTAATAACTGCACACATCTAAGGGGAATTTTTCTAGGACAATTAGAGCACATTTCGGCTATATATATGTGTGTTGAAACCAAGAAAAACAAATCATGTCTCCGTAATAAGGCGATGTTGTTGAAGCAGCACAAACCGAATTCAATTGTATCCGTTCAGGGATTCGAATGCGTTATGAAAGTGGTGAGCACCTACCTTGATAGATGATGTCTAAGAGAGCTGACCGAGAGCCGGCAAATAGCACCATTCGACTCCGCTTGTGTGAATCCGCAGGAGCCTTGGTCATATTTTCTAAGTTAATCAGAACAGAGTATATGACGAGCCGCGCCAACGCTCGGCAGTGGTCGTAGGTGAGGTGGAGGTGGCCTTGTTGGAGGCGCCTGAATATACTGGCGAGATCGGACGCAAGGTTTTCATCGCCAGTTCGTGAGCCAAGTTTGAACGCGGCTCTCTCTCCCATCAGGGTGGTAAGGAGCTTCGATATTGCCTGTTGGCAAATTTCGTCCCGAGGGTCAGTGGTGTCACTATATTTTTGTTCTGCTTCTTGAAGTAGACCTTGTAATCGGTAGAGTGAGTCGCTTAGAGGATGTTTTGCGATGATATCGCAATCGTGGTCCGAAAGCTCAGCCATTATATGATGAATGGGAAACACACGCGGAACAAAAATCAAGAAATGTTAGGATGTTATGATGTATGATACTTGCCAGGGGTAGCTCGCTGAGAACAGAATCAAAGGGAGGATTATGGTCAAACGGTTGATCCGGCTTGGCTCTGATGCAGAACGCGAATGTGGGAGCAAGGAACTGGGGAGATTAATCCTATTGGATCGCGACTGAATGCTAAGCAGCGCGAACAAAATAGAGGGATTGATCGGACCCAGGTACTTTGAGGAAGGCCGGCTATTCCCATTTAGGATTAAAACAGACCATGGCACTCAAACAAGGCCGGTATAGCCTATTACAATGAAGTATAATGTGTTTTGACAAGAATAGAATGGCTATTTATCATTAAGAGTTATATCAAAAAGCAAATCTCTGTCCAGCGTCTCATCATTGTTTCAAAATATGCCCGGAAGCAAGATAATCCGTTCCGTTCTCTACCTGCGGTAGACCTAGATGATTTTGTTTAGTCACCGAGTGAATATTTTGATGTTGCCTCCAAGAGCAGAGGCACATTAGGGCTCTCCATTGCCTGCGCTTTGGTACAAAATGCTCTGAGGAGGCTGTTCTTGCTCGGAAATGGAATTTCTCTTCGCTTCTCGGGTGTTTCAATATGCAACTTATTATCTTGTATATAGCAACAAAGCCGATGCTCAATACCCTTCTCAACAAGAGCTGTATATAGATCTTGAAGAGTACTGGTATCCGACCCTATAGCAGCGATCTTCATATTATCATCGCTGTTCAACACCCAGGCTAGCCGGATCGTCTGACATGTCTATCTTCATCCTTCTGCAGAGATACAAGTG